GCAATTTTTTTTTTCCCCCCTAATTTTTGCAGTTTGTAACACAGGTAATGACCTGGGCTACTTTCTTTGGAGTATTAAAAGAGCTATTAAGTGTTTAATCAGAGTTACATATTAACTTGCATTAACAGAGGTGAGAAGAGCAAGACACTTACAGACAGTTTGATTGAAGTACATAGAGAATGTGTTTAAAAAAAAAAAAAAATCCACAAACAAATAAACCACCAACCAAAACCACAGCCCTGTGAATTTACTGAAAGTGTTCTTTCTTGAAAAACAGACTTTCCCTCTTTTATGGTTGAACAACCATGAACTAGTAGTGACGACACCTCCACGTTCAGATGAACACGTCCATGATGAGAGTAAGCATTTGAGGGGTGGTCCCAGTAGCTGGTGGGGAGAGGTGACAGGCCAGGAGGGATTGGTAGCAGCACTCGTGACAAGGCTAACTGTGCTGGGGAGCCAGTACCCAAACGAAGATCACAAGATTAGGTTTCATCCCTAGATTTTCTCTTTTTCAAGCAATGCTCACTTGAGTAAATCGGTTAAGTAATGGAAAAGGAAAACATAAGCAACCTGGAAAGAACACAGTCAAGAACTACTGTAGCCCAAGAAACGCAGTTGGAGTCCAGCAGCAGGTTACTGCTACACTCTGCCATCAGAAACCACTCATGAGAGCAGGACTTGGTTTCTGAAAATAACTCACATATTTGGTTATACGTTCCTCTGTTCTAATAACTATTCCCTGTACGGCTGTGATAACCTTTTATACCGATATGCACATCCTGCAGAGGAAGAGAGAAGTGTCCTTTATCTGCTCATTAGGAGAAACTCAGTCCCTCTAAGCCCTGACCCAGGAGGCAATTCTGCTTGGCCAGTAACCTTTTAATTAAAGTGCACTTCCTGGAGATATTTATACTTTGTCCTTGGACTAATATACTCAGGATAAACTGATTGTAAAGACAGCATTCGGCTTCTGTCACTGGCATGGTAAGGGAAAAGACAGTGAAGATCAGCCGGATATATCTGCAGCAGGACAGCAGAAGGAGGAATAGAAAGCAAGCTGTGGAAGTACGCACACCCGTGTGTGCCTGCACATTTGGGGTTTAGACAATTATATCAGATGGATCAAGTTTGGTGTAATTTGGCACATTTCTAAGATAAGAAATTTCCTATCAGTAATATTTTTGTGATTGCTTTTCCTCCTTTTTCCTCCTCCCTTCCTCAGGATAGCTCAGCTCCGAGTACAAAAGTATTTGCTCTTGTATGGGATCTGGGCTATGACCTACCTAAAAGAACAGATAAGAAACTTTTACCACCTCTTGCACAGATAAGATATTGGTCTCCTTTTCTCTCAACCAGCCCTACAGGTGAAACTCAGGAACTGACTAAGGGGTAGATTTTGCCTTCTCAGGGAATGTTCTCAATAGGCGGTAATGAATCTGTCCCCTTGGCCTATTTCCCCAGCAACAATCATATGCTGGACCAGTGCAGTTTAGTCCTGATCAGAGATGGACCAAAAGGTTTAATGTGAATTATTAATCAGAAAGCTCCAGCAGCTCATTAGTTCAGTGCACAGCACTTCACTAGGACAAATCTAGTTGAGTTTGTGGAGCTCATCTTCTATCCATTCAGAAATCTTCCTTTAATATTAATATGCGTTAATTAATATTTGTTAATCTATTAATATTAATTATTCCAAATTTCATAACTACATTTTCTTTTTTACTACAGTGGTATTCAGCTGCTAATCAAACTTTATTCTCAGATTCCAGAGGATCAGTCACAAAACGTTCTTTTTACACAAATCTATGTTTTCTCCTTGTGTTTCAGAGGAGTTAAGAGATCCAGCTGACACTGTCTATACTCCATTTCTTGTAGGGGATCTATTCTTACCATATTTAAACTAGGCAAATATAGTGCCTAGATCTAGAAGATAAAATCTTGAATCTCCAAGCTCTGCAGTTCAAGCCACCTCTTATACCTTCCAACCTCATCTCGCTCTCAAAAAGGCCGAATTTAAACAACAAGGTGCAGGGAGTTTTAAATGCAGGAAGAAGTAGGAGAACGTAATAGAATACAGACAGACCAGCTCTGTTTCATGCTGTAATCTGTGGAAGATGTTTTGGACAGCATGTAACAAGGAAAGGAACTTTCCCTTGGTCCTTGGGCAGCAAAACAGTAAAGAACTTCTGTGTGGTTCCACTGGTGGCATGGTTTGTAGCAGGCCAACAGTTTTATCTTTGGTTGGGTTTTTGGGGCAGATGGTCAGGATGATTCAGCAGTTTGATTTTCACCATCATCGCTTGCAGGCAGCCTTAAAGTAGCAGGATTTGATTCTATGAAACTCAGCTTTGCATTTCAGTCTATCTTTTGATGCTTCTGACAGCAATACCAAATTCCTATTGATCTGAATATGCTCTCACCTGGCACTTCACCATGGGCAGCACGGTCCAACCTTTCTGGTGCTTCAGGATCACAGAATCATAGAATGGTTTGGGTTGGAAGGGACCTTAAAGATCATCTAGTTCCAACCCCCCGGCCATGGGCAGGGACGCCTTCCCCTAGATCAGGTTGCTCAAAGCCTCATCCAACCTGGCCTTCAACACCTCCAGGGATGGGGCAGCCACACTTCTCTGGGCAACCTGTTCCAGTGCCTCACCACCCTCATCGTAAAAGGATAGTGCAAAAGGATGACCATTTAGCTCTCTCTCCTGGGCCTAGGATGGACCGAAATCCATCACTCCATTGCCACAGTGGTTCCTCCCACACTGCTAGAGCAGTGGGGTGGAGAACATGCCTTGCCCATTGCTACTGCAGCAGGAAGAGAGAGGCCATGGCAGGCTCCTGCTTCTCCCTGAGCCCTCCTGCTCCAGGACCTGCAGCCCTGGCAATGGGGCAGCGCTCCCTGTGTTCCCCTGTCTGGCCGGCTTCACCCTGCAGCCGCCAGCTGGAAAGCTCAGCTGGAGAGAGAATACCATCTCCATTATTGGAACTGTGCAGCTCTACCAGCCCTCTTGGCAACGAGGGAACATTTTCTGCCTTAATCTACACAAAGGTCAAATAGTTTCCTCTTGCAGCTCTCTTCCAAGAATCCCCTGGGAGCGAGTGAAGGGCCACATCGTACAGAGCTCCCTTGCAGAGACTCAACGGCGGTGAACACCGTGCATGGGCCAGCAGCGATGCGCGGAGCCAAGCTTTTAGGGTCTCCCTCCTCTCCACCCACGTTGTTTTTTTTCTGCTGAGGTTTTCCAGGCAAGGCTGGTGGCTCTAGAATGACCACAATTAGAGGAAAGCTGTGAGTTTTTTTAGATAAGAGAATTGTTGAGGGACTTTAAGGAGCTGGGGCATCTCATTTCTACTGAATTTCAGTGGGGTATCATCTAACCCTCTTAAGCACCTCTAAAATCCTAGTTTTGTTTTTAAGCTTTATGTCACCTTCTGCATGATCCATGCTTCTCTCTCAGATCCCTCACACAGTCTGGCCTTGCAAAAACACATCAATCTGTGGGAAGGCTTCAGGGACAAATATTTGGAAACCAATCTCCGATACTCCCAGAGCACAGGGTGTCCATTTGGCTACATACCACAGACCTTGGTCTTCACAAATATTGTTCTGCTTACGGGTCGATTGCTGACATCTTTAGCAGTCATCTCTCCAAACTCCCTCAAGATTCATGTTTGTCTCTATGCTGTAAATATCAAATTCATTCTCAATAAGGAAATTGAGAATCCATCTGTCTCCTGGAGATGTTTTTCTTGGGCACACACTCTTCCCTGCTCCCTGCTGTAGCTCCTCCCTAGCTCCCCTCTC